ACTTAACAACAACAACAGTTGTGAGGATTTTCATTTTCTGTATGTTGAGGTATAATCCATACTGCAGACTGTAGCCTTCAATGTTTATTAATAACTACTTCAAGCCATCTTCACTTTCAGCAAGTAAACTTGTGTCATCTGCATATTACAGGTTGTTAATGAGTCTTCCTTCAATCCTGATGCCACGTTCTTCATATAGCCCAGCTTCTCGGATTATTTGCTCAGCATACAGATTGAATATGTATGGTGAAAGGATACAACTCTGACACACTCCCTTCCTGATTTTAAACCATGCAGTGTCCCCTTGTTCTCTTCGAACGACAGCCCCTTGGCTATGTGCAGGTTCCTCATGAGCACAATTAAGTGTTCTGGAATTCCCGTTCTTCTTAATGTTAGCCATCATTTGTTGTGATCTACATAAGCTAATGCTTTTTGCACAGTCAATAAAACACAAGTAAGTATCTTTCTGGCATTCTCTGCTTTCAGCCAAGATCCATCTGATATTAGCAATGGTAATCCTTGTTCCATGTCCTCTTCTGAGTCCAGGTTTCATTTTTGGGAGTTCCCTGTCAGTATATTGCTGTAACCGTTTTGAGTTAACTTTCACCAAGATTTTACTTGAGTGTGGTATTAATGATACTGTTTGATAATTTCCACATTCTGTGGGATCACCTTTCTTTGGAATGGGTGTAAATATGGATCTCTTTCAGTCAGTTGGCCAGGTAGTTGTCTCCCAAATTTCTTGGCAGACGAGTGAGTGCCTCCAGCGGGGCATCTGTTTGTTGAAATATCTTAATGGGTGTCCTGTCAATTCCTAAAGTCTGTTCTTTACCAATTCCTTGAGGCTTGTTCTTTGACGAGTTCCTTCAGTGCAGCTTTGACTTCTTCCTTCAGTACCATTGGTTCTTGATCATTTGCCACCTCCTGAAACGGATGAACATCGACCAATTCTTTTTGGTACAGTGACTGTATTCCTTCTGTCTTTTGATGTTTCCTGCATCATTCAATATATTGCCCAATAGAATCTTTCAGTATTGTAACTCAAGGCTTGCATTTTTTTTTTTCCAGTTGTTTCAGCTTGAAAAATGTTGAGTGTGTTTTTCCATTTTGGTTTTCTAACTGAAGGTCTTTGCACATTTTGTTACAATAATTGACTCTGTCTTCTCGAGCTGCTCTTTGAAATCTTCTGTTCAGCTTTTTTGTCTTGTCATTTCTTCCATTTGCTTTAGCTACTCTCCATTCAAGGACAAGTCATATTTTGGCTCACGTGGACTTGTTTTAATTGTCTTCAACTTCAACTTGAAATTGCATATGAGTAGTTGATGGTCTGTTCCACAGTCAGCTCCTGGCCTTGTTTTGGCTGAAGATATTGAGCTTCTCCATCACCTCTTTCCACAGATGTAGTCGAGCTGATTGCTGTGTACTCCATCTGGTGAAGTCCATGTGTATAGCCACTGTTTGTTGTTGAAAAAAAAAATTTGCAATGAGTAAGTTCTTGGTCTTCCAAAATTCTATCATGTAATCTATAGTGTCATTTCTATTACCAAGGCCATATTTTCCAAGTACTAGTGATTCTTCTTTGTTTCCAACTTTTGCATTCCAATCACCAGTAATAAGACATCTTGATTGCATGTTTGGTCAATTTCAGACTGCAGAAGGTGGTAAAAAAATCTTTAATTTCCTAGTCTTTGGCTTTGATGGTTGCATAAATTTGAGTAATAGTTGTATTAACTGGTTTTCCTTATAGAGGTATGGATATTATCCTATCACTGACAGCATTATACTTCAGGATCTTGAAACACTTTTTGTGACAATGAATGCCATGCCATTCCTCTTCAATTTGTCATTCCCGGCGTAGTAGATCATATGGTTGTCTGATTCACAATGGCCAAAACCAGTCCATTTCATCTTACTAATGCCTAGGTGCAAAAACGACAAGGAGGCCACATGTTCTGACCTCCTCTAACCCTACAAGGGGAAGGCAGGATTACCAGCAGTAAACCAAGGCCTATTA